TAATGGCACTGGGACGAGCCACTCCACACCAAACCTACACAAACTGATGCGCGGCCTCCAGTCCTCACAACGACCTACTCTGCCAGACATGCTCTCCCAGGGCCAGACTCTCTCAACCCCCGCTGAAAAAGCAACCGCCCTGAACGCTTTCTTCATCTCGCAAAGCCAACAGTCAGTCACAGGATGCCACGAGGAACTTCCCTCCATTCATTCCCCCACACCCAACACACCTGGCCTCACTACACTTGAAACAACAGCCCAAGAGGTCTCAAAGTTACTGTCTAACCTGGACCCGTCAAAGAGCCCGGGCTGTGATGGCATACCAACCCGCCTACTGAAAGAGGCAGCCAGTTCACTTGCGCCGTCCCTAGCAACCCTTTTTAACATCTCCTTCGAACGTTGCACTATCCCGCAAGAGTGGAGGGACGCAACAGTCACCCCCATCCACAAGAAGGGCAGCAAAACCGAGCCCTCCAACTATCGACCCATATCGCTACTCAGCGTGACGTCGAAAGTACAAGAGAGGATAGTTGCTGACCGCATCTCAAAGCACATCCAACCTCACCTCCCCAACGGCCAATCAGGCTTTCGGCCAAACGATGGCACCACACAGCAGCTATCTCGGTTAATCCATCAGATCACCGAGAAAAGAGACGCCGGGCAAACAGTAATTGCTTGCTTCTTCGACCTCTCTAAGGCGTTTGACCGGGTGTGGCACCAAGGACTGCTTGCAAAATTGGCCCACCTCGGACTCGATGGCAAATGCCTCCAGTGGCTTGCCTCCTATCTCACCAATAGACGACAACGTGTGCAAGTGGAGAGCAGCAAATCAACATGGCTAAACATTCCAGCGGGGGTCCCCCAAGGCTCTGTCTTGGGGCCGCTTTTGTTCACGGCCTACACAGTTGATCTGCCAACCGCCTGCATAAATGCCAACACTGAGTGCAGCCAGTTTGCCGACGACACTGCCATCATTGCCGCTCACGAGAATTTTCTAGCCGCAGAAGAGCACCTCCAGTCAGCTGTGACAACCGCGGCACAGTGGCTGAAGGATTGGCATCTCCTGGTCAACGAAAGTAAGACCACTGTCATCCACTTTCACCACACCAACCGGCCACCTCCCAGACCACCATCAATCACACTTAACGATACCAACCTCACTGTGGCCTCAAGGCATCGCCACCTTGGCCTCCTCATACAGCAGAATCTATGCTGGAACTCGCATGTTGACTACATCATCACTAAAGCGACCAGGAAGATGTTCCTTCTCCTGCGACTACGCAATTCCTTAAACACTTCTGCTCTCTCCTCCATCTATCTAACCTACATTCGCCCTATTCTTGAGTATGCTTGCACTGTCCTCTCACCCCTCCCCGCAACCCTGAACGACCGGCTTGAGCGCATCCAACGGCGCGCTGCTCGCCTCTGTTTGCATCTCCCCCTCTTTGAACACAGAACCCACTCCGTGCTGCTGCACCGACTCAAATGGCCATCACTCAGCAGCCGCCGTACCCTCTCCCATATCCTTCTTGCACACAGCCTGCATCATAGATATGCACCACCACACCTTCTTGCAATTCACCTACCCCGAATACAACCCATTCGCACGCTCAGGTTCCCCCGAACCTTTGAGCTACCCACAACACGTACAAACCGGCTAAGAGACTCCCCCATCTATGCTTCTCTTGATCTCTTTAATAGCATCCCACCAAGCATCCGGCAAATCAACCCCAGACGAGATTTCAAAGCAAACATCCTACCACTTGTCATCTCTTCCGTATGTACTTGCTCACATTGCTCAGCACATCTATAGCTCCATTGCGCCCAGCCTACGTGATTAACTCCCAATTAGTATTACCATCGCTACTGCCTCAGCAAGCAGCTAAACTTTGATCTCTCTGTATCTGATCCCCGTGCCTGTAATTATTTTTCTCTTATTGGCCACAGGCCATCGTGAGAATAAAAGAATTCAAAACGACAGCAACAACACTCAAGAATACTGCTTCCTTTCCAAATGATAATAATAATATGAATATACATGTATATGAGGCATGAATTAAAAAAGAGGACCAAAAGTTTACAAGTTATCCGTTTTGTCCAACACTAACGGTTATAAGCAGAATACTGTTGAGTCAAAAATGTGCAACAATTGGCACCACACTGACTGATGAGATCATGCCATTCAACGACCTGATGCTTTTGGGCCTCTTTCTTAAATTTTAATCCTTGGCTCTCCATCCGAGTTTAATTATGATGTTTAAAATACCTTTACTGTAGTCGAAATATACATCTCGTGAAGTTAGACACCCCCTCCCCTCCTTGCTGCCCCCTCCTAAACAAAATGGGTTGGGCGCCAGAATATCTAAGTAACATAGATACACACGAGGCAAACACACACACACACACACACACACACACACACACACACACACACACACACACACACACACCAGCAACACACTCGTTATAGGGTAGTAGAGTTTGCAGATTGTGAGGACTGTTTGACCATGATATAAAGGTAAAAGACAATTAGGTGGCATTATTACAATATTGAACAGAAGTGGGAGTTCTTGATATGATAAAATATATTGACCTTTGATAGATACCCACACTCATTAGTGACCACACCATCAACAGTATCAAATTCAAATAAATTTGCTTAACTCAATAAATACCACTGTATTTTTCCATGCAGCACTGCACTTTTCCCTAAAAAGGAGTATTTTATAAACAGTATTAATTGGACAAAATGTTATGAGTTATGACTGACTGTCCACCAACGTAACCAGATCCTATACAGTCAGCGAGTGCGACAAAATGGCACAAAACTGACAAGGAGTACTGAGACATTTTGTGCCATTTTGTCGCACTCGCTGACTGTATAAGATCTGGTTACATTGGTGGACAGTTAGTCATAACTCGTAATATTTTGTCCTTCTTCTTTTCCCAATAATATTATTTAATTGGCTCACCATCCCAGTTACATTAGTATTTATTGGCGTAGTGGTATTTTATAAACAGTATTTATTGGCTTTTGAGCCAACACATACTGTTTATAAAATACCACTAAGGCCATTAATACTGTTCATAAAATACTCCTTTTTAGGGAAAGTGAAGGTCAACACACATGTATGTACATGTATAATAAATGTAGTAGCCGTAGGATTTATTGTTTTACACACCAGTATAAAAACCGAGGTCCCATAATATGTATGAAGGAAAAAATATGATGAGCTCTGGAATATAATCAGGTCAACAGGCTAATAGCTCGGTGAACGTTCTGCTATAATACCTCTGTTGTACAATTCAAACACATAATTCTGTGAGGTCAACCCTGGTGTGCAGCAATCAACATCAACTGGACAAAGTCTTGCATAGACAAAAATCAACATTTCACAAACACATGTTCACTGGAATGCTAGAGATGGTTTTGGATAGTCATGACCAGGGAGTCGTAAAAGCTAGCCCGGGAGAGGACATGGCACACATTCCCAGAAAACATCTTTGAATCGCGCTGTCAGGAAACGCGTGTTGCGAGGCCAGGAAATCATTATTTTCGAAATTGTGATGTCTTCTTGACTTACTAATTGGGACATTCTCCGATTTCTCTTAGAGCACGGAGACTATTGCTTCGTCGAGTCTTCTGATCTCTATATTCATACTCAATTCTTCCAGCTGCCTTACTCATTCTCTATCATTTATCGAAGTTAATATATTCTGAGGCGATGGAAATGCAAGATAAATCCCTAATTGTGCTTCAATTATATTTGAGTTGGGGCGAACGAAACGAGATTTGTGGAAAATGACGCCACTTCCCGTGTTAGCCGCTGGTCGTATCATACAGCCTACATTCCACTGCAAGTGAAGGGCGAAAGTTCTTGTTGAGATCCGCTGAGCTTCCTCGTACTCGTAGAGTTGAATTTGTGGCAGAAATTGCACTGAAATTGCAGTCAAATGGTTGTGAATGAAACGAGATTTGTGGAAAATGAAGCCACTTCCCGTGTTAGCCGCTGGTCGTATCATACAGTCCATATTCCATTGCAGGTGATGGGCGAAAGTTCTTGCAGAGATCCGCTGAGCTTCCTCGTACTCGTGGAGTTGAATTTGTGTCAGAAATTGCACTAAGATTGCAGTCGAGTGGACTTCTGTGCGTGTGTTGGCGAGTGAACCGCAACGGCTCCCTTCATCATCGTCAAAGCGCAACATAGAGCATTATTACGAACTCGTTCCATGATTCATGATGTTGTCCGGATCACACAATCACTCTCTGTTCCCTATCTATCTACATTGTGCATGGTTGCAGTTCGTTATTTATAAACCTTGGCAATGTCGACACTTTTCTACTCGTATACTAAGTACGCGGTGACTTTAGGAAACGGAAGGCTCAGCCTCCAGATCGGCCAGAGAGCCTGAAAGGTTCTCTGTGAATCTAACCGAAGTCTCGGCGAGTGTACAAAAGGTAAACCTATCATCAATTTTGTATTTCATAACGGAATTGTGCACAAAACTTGTGACGCGCACACACGCACACACTCACACAAACACAAACACACACAAAAAGTACAAGCACATGTGCACATACACACGTCCCTCCCCCCCCCCCCCCTCCCCCACACACACACTCAACTCCCCACCCCCTGTACTGAGTCTGACAGACAGACTTGTTTCTGCTTCCTTCGCCACCAGTTTCGGATATAGGCTCTACCAGGAGTTGTAAAATATTGGTATTTTAGTACTCCCTGCCCTCAAGACGAGCACAGCGCCGTGGATCGAGCAGATCCGGCCGCGCCGGCCTAGTGTGCTTCACTTTCTGGCGGAGTCAAAAATCGCCCACGTGTGCGCATCCCGTGTCCTCTCCTGGGCTTTTAGTTTTACGACTCCCTGGTCATGACTACTTCGCCATGTGTAGCAGGAGAGGAAAAGGTGCAGCTTCCACCCAGCAGCGGCTTTTCACACACACAAGAAAACACAAGCCCTGTAATATATACTTCACAGTGGACTGGTTGAAGGAACGGGGCAGTTTCTTGACAGTTTCACTCGTGGCTCTGCGCACTGACAAACATCGAAAAGTCACCATCGGCATCCGTTGATGGCCATTGCTATATACAGAACAAGACGTGTGAAGTATGCCAGACACACAACATGTTTCCACACTGACTGCAAGACACACATGACGAGACGCTCACAATGAAACAGACGCCAGCAAAACAGCTCTTATTTCGCACCTACACAGGTTTGGGCTATGACCTTGTGCTGCTCCCTGAGTGCCGTAGCCCTCCGCTTCAGAACAGAGCACAGTTTCTTGGCAGTGTTGCCATTTCGTTGTAACGCGGGGCTCCTCTGACTGAGCTTGCGATGTCCCTGGAACTGACAGTCGACTGTTCAACGCGGAGAACTGCTTTTACTTCACTCGTGGCTCTGCGCACTGACAAACATCGAAAAGTCACCATCGGCATCCATTGATGACCATTGCTATATACAGAACACAGGCAGCCACAAGGGCGGAGTGGCCCAGCGCTCGTCCAATCGTTGTCTCCTTGGTAGGATCCCCGCTGATTTCATCATGCATGTACCTCTTCAACGCCTCCTATTGAGTCAACGAATAAACAGCAAAGGAACAGAAACAGATCAGTCTCCGTCTGTTTGGAGAGTGGGCTGAGTTACCTAAACAGTTTTCGAAATTAATTATTTAGAAAAGTGATCTTGTCTGCTTTTCTATTATTGTGTTCACATGGTAAGACCTAACGACACCGCTATTGAGACACTTTGTCTACGTAGTTACGTAAGTTTCTACGTAAGATGCTCGGTACCTGCACCTGGACCAGGGAGCTACTCCATGGCTCCTACCATCGCGTGGCTGGCCGCATGCATGTGCATTGCAGACTTTGTGTTGTTGCCTTTTCGGATGTGCATGCACGAGGAACTTCCTTCTTTGGAACTGCTTCTTGCATGAGCTGTTTCGGATATTTCGTCTCCTGGCCTGGCTTATTTCGTTTCGGCGCTGCTGAGACCTCCTTTCGCGGAATATTGCAGAGAGGTTAAGTTACACGTTTTTTGCCCTTTTTCAAAACGCGGTGCAAATCTCACGTTACGTGTAATTTTTAGAGGTTAAGTTACACGTGCGACGTGACGTGAAATTTTGCCTGGCAGGATTCGGGTTTAGTTCGCACAAATATTAAATCTTCCAACAAACTCGATAAAACTCGATATAATTCCGGAAACTCACACAAATTCGGCCGGAATAACCAAGCGAAACTTCCAAAAACTCACGTCATGAACTTACGTGCGGGACAGTCAACTCGCGTAAAACACGTCAAATTTTACGTGAGTTTTTTCACTTTTTGACGTAAAAGTTCACGGACGTAAGACTTTTACGTGAAACTTAACCTCTCTAATGACAGGTGAGTTGACCCATTCCCTTTGATTAGGGACGTTTAGCAATGCGAAAATTCGAACTTTTGGTGGTGATGATATTTCGCGAAAATCTATTTCGAAAAAGAAAACTTGTGAGGTTTAGCAATGCGAAATGACTTTTTCTCGAAGTTATTTGAATCTTATAGTACCGTACCGTATTCTATGCAGCTCAGTCTCAAGCAGGGGCTGAAAAAATTACTACTCCCTGTAGTCACAAAGGCACGCAATGAAAAACTTGGCAAATTAATTCCGTTGTGACTCAGAGTTTCATGGCTGAACCAATCATCAGATCTGATGATTGGCCTGATGATTGGTTCAGCCATGAAACTCTGAGTCACAACGGAATTAATTTGCCAAAGTTTTCATTGTGTGCCTTTGTGTACGCCGCTCTGCCTGGATAAGGCATTGAGCACTTTTGCAGAACCAAAACATATTGCCTCTGTACTCCTGTAGTCAAATGCGTACTGAGAAAAGAGAAAGTTTCTTTCGCAAATCACTGCAACTTCGCGTTAAAGTTTTCGAAGTTTCGACCTTTGTTTCTGCACTCATTCCCAGACTCGAATTTTCTTTCGAACTTTCGCGTTGCTAAACGTCCTTATCCATTTGCTTGTGTTGACTCTTTCATTTACGAAAAGTGTGCTGATTTTGGGCGGAATGCAATAAATAATGGAAAAGCTGACAGGATCTCTTTTCTAAATTTTGCTTTTCCGCTGCCAAGGCCTCCTTTTACGGAATACTCAATGACAGGTGATCTCTGAGTTGACCGGCTTCCTTCGATTCATTTGCTTATGCTCACCCTTTCATTTACGGAAACGTGTGCTGACTTTATTCGGATTTAGATCCAGTCGTATCTCTTTGTCCTTGCCCACAGTGTGCGAAGAACGCGAGTTCACCTTCTTGACGGTAAGGCTTATGTTGCTGCTGAGGCTTAAGGGCGATTCACAATACAACTTTCTGCGATGCCACATGCGATTTGCGACAGTCGCAACAAGAAAATGCCTGTCGCGAGCTGTCGCAAGGCACCTGTCGCAGAAGTTGAAGAAAGTTCAACTTTTGCGACATGCGACACGCGACATACACAAATGGAGTACAGTTTCGACCCTGGGAACACGTGCAGTGCACGTGCATAGTACTATTTGTGCATGAGGATATCCGGATGTCGCAACAAATATGAAGAATATTTTGAACCGTGGGTCGCTGTCGCAGCTCGTCGCATGTGTCGCATGTCGTGTCGCTAGAAGTTGTATTGTGAATCGGCCTTTAGATGTGTTGTCAAAATTCTCATGTTCACTGTTACTTGTACATTAGTACGTTACAAGTAAGACACTGGAATTGCTTCCGGCACTCCGTGCCCCGATCATAGGGTAGAATCTGAATTTTGCAGTGGCATAATAATTATCATTCTTTGTTGCCATCTTGAATAGGTCCGTCAAATAGTAGTAATAGTTTTTTTTCATTTGACCCTTGCTTCCGTGGAGTGTGGCTGGTGAACTGTTCGTGCCGCGATCTGCAAGTGTCATGTGGTCTCGTCGGGTCAAATGAAAAAACCTATAATAATTATCGTTGGCAGTTCCCAATCTGGAGGAAAGGGTTCAAGGAGGGATTAACCGAGCATGCAGAATATATTCGCATACATGTATCAGGGGAAATCTCAATTATGGAGAGGTTCAGTAACTTGTTTGCTTCATACGAAACAAGCCAATGGGTGCAGTCTAGTCTCGTGAAAATCTCGTACGATTGGATTTGTTTGCTCGAGTCTGGGCTGTTTGATTTGTGAGTAACACCGAGATTTCACTGCTCCAAATAAAAGAGAGGTTGTGCATTCCGAATTTCGGAATGATTTTCGACTGTGCTTATCCGAAAAAAGTGCGTTCCGAAAAACGGCATTTTCAGTGTTTTGCATTCCGAAAAAATGATTCGACTTCGTTTCCAAGGGTTGCCATGCAAAACAAATTGGAGAGCATCGAATTCGCGAAGGCGCCAAAACCGAAAACTTTTTCCGTCCGAATCTTGCAAATAATTAATTCGGTTTTGAATCGTGCTGGTCCAACAGCAGCAGCGTGCACGTGTGTGATCTCTGACGGACTTCCTGGTGATACCAGCAAACTAAGTTACTTTGCCTCAGAGGAGGCTAGAACTTTTGCCTTCTCCTCGAATCCCACAGAGCCGCGAACAAAGGGGGTGAGCACAAAATAGGAGTTGCAGAGCAGGATCAAATCCATGTGCAGGTCAAACTGAATTTGGGTGCGGTTCGAAGACGAGGACGGACTGATGGTGGACCAAGCGATCCAAAAGCTGAAGACGATGTTGGCGAACTACTGTCTTGTACTGTCAGTAGGCTCCATGGCAAAGGAAGATAGAGTGTGAGAAGATCTAGTCAACATGGCGAGATCAGCGAGCGCAGGCAAAAACCAGCAAAAATCAAAACTACACAAGTGGAAAATTTTCAAATCAGCGAGAGCAGCAGAAAACAAAAAAACACACATGAAAAGTACACTTTTTTGTATTCAAATATGCGCTCCCAAACATGAAAGAGCCGAAAATCCATTTTGGAAACCCATGCACTTTCGCCACCACACTTCCGAAAGTTCGACTACTTTTTCGACTCCTGCCGCCACATTCCGAAAATAGTTCCAAAATTCGGAATGCAAAACCTCTTTTTTAGGTTGCGTGCCGGCAAAGCAAGAATGGACCTTACGCCATTTGTACAGATACACGAAATCCCGTAGACTCGGTAGGGTGTTGAATGTGCAGGACCCTATTGTGTTTTCTGCTATTTCTACTAAGAAATGGGGCCTGAAGGCATTTCATACGAAAACCTTTTTTCTGACAAAGATCTAGCTAGTCATTAGTTCTAACCAAAGTGAAGGAAAGAATTCGGGTGGACACACCCATTCCCATAGCGCTGCACATCACATCCGAACCAGTTCCGTTATTTTTACAACGTTTCGGCTCTTGGCCATCGTCAGGTAATAACAATGAATTGTTATTATATGACGATGGCCAAGTGCCGAAACGTTGTAAAAATGAATTGTTATTACCTGACGATAGCCAAGTGCCGAAACGTTGTAAAAATAACGGAACTGGTTCGTGTGTGATGTGCAGCGCTATCGGAATGGGTGTGTCCACCCGAATTCTTTTTACAGATGAAGCTGCAGGAAGCCTCAGCCCTTCTTCAAAAAAAGTGAAGAAGCTAGAAAAGCGATTGGTGGTCATTGAATTATGACGCTAAAAATGTCAAATGCGCATGCATAGCACACAATGAACACCCTACCAGGTCTACGGGGTTTCGTGGATCTGTACAAATGGCATAAGGACGATTACGATCTGCAATCTGTTTGTAGTACCAGCAAGAATGTGCTGTACATGTACCGTATTTTCTCTGTTCCTGTTTCAGTTGCCGTTATGTTGCTAAAGAAAGGTTCAGTGACTCATTTGTTTCATACGAGATGAGTCAATTATTCGGTCTGGCTTAGAATCTTTCGCTGTAGAAGAAATCTATTTGTATCTCCATTGGAGAAAGATTTGTATTCAATGGATATAAAATAGGGTTAAGACAAACTCACAGAACATATACCATCGGTCCCTTGATGTCTGGTCTACTGTTGTGTGCGGATGCAAATTTTGGTGCTCCGCCGTTTTTCAGATATCTTTCAGGGTAGCCTCTAGCCCTTATACTTTATTTAGCTGATCAGTACTGAAGTAGATTGCGTAGTGCTTTGGAAGACCATGCCAACCTCCTCATCCCATAGTCCAAGTGTTGGGACGGGATCTTTGCATGCTCGGCTCAGTGGAGGCAAGTCCAAAGCTGTTAGTCCGCCTGATACACTCCGCTCGCAGGCACCACGATTAGCGACCCAGGCAGGACAGGGCAATGATGACGAGCTGCGTAGGATTTCTCATATGCTGAAGGAAATTCGCAACGAGCAGACGGCCAGTAAGGAGACCCTCAATCGTTTCATGGATGATGTGCTGACAAGGATGGAGAAGGTCATGGAGGAGTATGACGTGATGAAGAAGACCCTGTCATCTTTCGAACAACGACTTGCTGCACTTGAAGGGAGTCCCGTACCCGCACCCGTACCCACAGCGACAGTACTAGCTCCACCTGATATTTCCGCTCTGATTCAAGAGGAAGCTGAGCGACTAAACCGGAAGCAGTACGCTATCGTA